GTTTAGCTGTCTGCCTAAATGTTACCTCTTTAGACAAACTTCCCCTGAGCCCATCTGATGTCATGCCCCGTCACCTTACCCTCCGTGTCCTTCATAGCACTTAGCATTGTGTACTCTGTTTTGTTCAATCTTCTACTGAGAGCCTGACACTTAGTAGACATTTGCTAATAATTTTTAATTGATTGAATTAAATTACTTCACATTCATGATCCTCCTGAAAGCTTTCTGGGAGAAAAAGAGTAGGGGTAGTTGGAATAAGGTGAATGAGTGACAGCAAACTGAACTGGCCTCCCAACACTACCTCCACTTCTGTGACTTCTGAACTTGGTGTCCGTGACGTGTTAGCAACATTCCAGGCACTGTCATAGGCTTCTTAAATACATGTTTCCCAATCTTTACACCTGACCTTAGGGCATAAGTAATCTGCCCAGCTGGTAGGTGGCATAGCTGGGATCTGAAGCTAGTTTTACCTAACTCCATCACACTTCCAGACTCTATGGTCAGTTTTCAAACCCACCAAGGGTGACTCTGGGGGCCCTGTCAAGACCCAGAGCCCAGATCCCCACAGCACTGGAGGTGGGTGGGATGAGCACCAAGAAAAAAATTCCTCTGGAGTAATCAATATCAGAAACCGCAGTGGGGAATGTTTCTTCCACATCCGGGAAGCTTCTACAAGCAGCCAAGAAAATAAGAATCTACATGTTCTAGGTATTAAAATTGAGCAATGGATCTAAACGAATTTTAAACACTTTGCTTTGGCTTCTTTATTTCTAGGTGTTAGTTTTCCATGTAAATTGATAACTGGGTAGGTATCTACAGTTGGCATATACTGCTGTGTATACTGGCATATACTCAGGTAAGTGGGTAATGGGAACAAGACGGCTAGAAGAGCAAAAAAGTGGAAAGCATTGTCCAGTTTTGGGGAGGATAACACAAGTATCTGGAAAACAATGTGCAACATTCACCTTTGAAAGTACCATTTGCCCTGAATGGATAAAGAAGTTGTGTACGTATATGTGTGTGTGTGTGTATATATATATGACTATTCTGTGAGAAAGAAGGAAATCCTGCCATTTTCAACAACATAGATGGACCTTGAGGGCATTATGCTAAGTGAGATAAGCCAGACAGAGACAAATACTGCATGCTATCACTTATATGTGGAATCTAAAAAAAAAAAAAAAAACAAAAAAGTAAAACTCTTAGAAACAGTAGAAAAGTGGTTACCAGGGTCTGGGGGTGGGGGAAATAGGCAGAGGTTGGTAAAAGCGTACAAACTCTCAGGTATAAGATGAATAAGGTCTGAGGCTCTAATGTATAGCATAGTGACTACAGTTGACAACACTGCATTATATAATTGAAATCTACTAAGAGAGTAGAACTTAAATGTTCTGACCAAAAATAGAAAAAAAGATAAATGCGTGAGGTGATAGATGTGTTAATTAACTAGATGGTGGGAATCCTTTCACAATGTATACGTATATCAAATCACCACAATGTACACTTTAAATGTTACAATTTTGTCAATGATATTCAATAAAGCTGGGAAAAAAAGGTACCCTTTGCCCCTTCTATCCACAGTGTTCTCACCGCCTTTCTTATGGTTTAGTCAGTCAGCATTTATTGAGGACAAATTCTTGGCCACGCCCCATGCCACAGGTTTTGAATACAGTCCCGGCTCATAAGCAGCAACTTGTCTGGTGAGGCTCGTGTTCTTCACTCACATCATGCGAGTATCCTGCCCTCCTCAGAGCTCTGGGGACCCCAATACCTACTCTCGGCCTAATACCCTACTATGTTGCAGGTCCCCTACCTAGACCCCCCGAGAGGACTCTAGCTACACCAGGCCCAGTCATCAAACAGGTCTAAGCTCCATCCACACTGATGTCCCCTCAAGGTGCTCTAGGGCCTCTTACTAGATTCTAGAGCAATGGCTTCAAATCAGTGTCTCCACTATGAAGTGTGTTCCAAGAAAATTGTTACTAACAATCAAGTACCGAAGGGGTTCATTTTTCCATAGAGACTACAAGTTATCCTTATATAATAGGTATTCTTTGTCTCCAGCTCCCATCCTCCCTTTCCTCTGGTTCCCCTTAGAGAACTACCCCTTCTCCACGCTCGGACCGTATGGTTCAGATAGAGAGAAACTTGCTCTTAGTTCCAGGATGGGCATGTGGCACAGGCCTGGCTAATCAGAGTCCTACATTCTCAGGGCCATAATGAGTAGCTATGGACTAGCACGTGACCCAGTCGAGGAGAATGAGGCCACTGCAGCTGGCAGGCAGGTAGGTTGTAAACCTGGATCGCTCCAGGGTAGGGCTTGCCCAAGAATGAAACCCACATAGTTCAGCAGAGTCGAGTGACAGAAACATCAATTGAGCCTCTTGATCTTGCCAGGATGACTTCTGGAATTTTCAGTTACTTTCTCTGTCCAACACAGGTGAGCATTGCTCACAGCTGGCAACTGCTCACACAACAGAACGTTCCTCCCCTTCCGACTGCAGGCAAGGAGCAATGCGGCAATAGGTAAGTATCATGTCATAAAACGACGTGTAAAACCAGTTTACCTCTCTTAGTGTGCAGTTTAGTGCAAATTACAAGTGCAAACTTGTAGTTTGGGCTGATCTTCAAAAATATCTATTTGAAATGTGTGAAAATTGCCCACTTGTAGCTAACAATTTTAGTCTAACTTGGGATACTCAAATTACTTGGGTTTCAATTTGGGCACATTTCATCCAAGCTTACAACCTACCTGCCTGCCAAGCTTACAAACTACCTGTCCTACATTTTGTCTGTCCATCTTGCTTTGTGGGAGGCAATGACAATTCCTAACAATCTCTTTCAGGAAACCGCCAAGACAGGGATCCAGGTATTGGCATCTGCTGAGAGACGGTCAGAGGGCTCCCCTTGAGCTTTATGACCCCATGCTGCAGAAACTACCAGTCACCAGCTCCAACGACCACAGGCCGTCCAGCTGGCTGGAGCTGAGAGTGCTGTGCAGCCTCAGAAGGCCAAAGCGTGGCTCCCAGGGGGCCCTTGGACTGCATAACCCCTCAGAGGGAAGCACCCCTGCAGACCTGTAGAGAAGTCTTGATGTGGAGGACTGTGGCAGGACGCTGCTTGATCAGCCCCTATTGTGGACTGAGTCCCAGCTCCAACCCTCCAGGCAGGTAGCCTTGAGCTCCAAAAGGGGTCACAAAACCCACATTGCCTCCTTTCCCTCTATCTAGTAACATGCAGATGGTTATCCTGCAATTAATCTTTCATCGCCCCTCTCCCTGTATCTTAGCAGCTGGGAAGTAAGTGGACACTTGTACGTTGCAGTTGATTTTTATGTGCACATGAAGGTAACTGTGTCAGATTTGAAGGTTTGTAGTTTTTAGAAACATGTGTAAACAATAGTCCTCACAGCCAAAACTAGTGTAATTTTAGGAGAAAAAGGAGAAAGATGACCAAGAATGGAGTAGAAAAAGTGTCCAGGAATTAAGCATGGATATCAGAAGCCACTAAAAATAAACACGATGCTAGAGAGAAGTGGAGAGTGTGGTGCAGCAAGAGGGCCAGACGGCCAGTCACGCCAGGGCTGTGGTGGACATCAGGAGCCAATCTTCTACCCAGAGCCAGGGTCTCCACAGAAGGCCTGCCCCACACACTCCCACGGGCAGGAGTCCGGCAGATTCATATCCACTGCCCTAACTAGCTGTGTGACCACAGGCGAGCAATTTCAGCTCTTTGAGCTTCTTGTAACATTCTGCAGGACAGAATATGTATACAAATTGCCTTTGCCTGGTGCACTTTGTTCAACAAATGATGGTATTATTATTATGTATCATCGTCATCATTTAGGCAAGAGTTCTACTCAGAAAGGGTGATCCTAATGATTGACCACACTTGCTGCCACCAGAACCAGAAGTCCCATTTTTCAAAAGAGTGAACAGGTTGCTGTAAACAGGTTACCTCCCAGGACTACTAAAGCCTAAGGACAAAGGGCGGGGGTAGCAGAAGTGAAGGGAGGTTCTCCCCTGTCTACTCACATAAGATAAAACCTCTGTCAGCTCACCTGCACTTGTTTTTCCCTTCTCCATTAACTTGCAGGAACAGGTACAATAAACAATGAAAACAAAACCTTTTTACACAATGCCTACCCAAAGCATCTTTCTTGCACACTGCTTAAAATACTTTGCATATATATTAGCATACCTTGCTTGGTAATGGATTAACAAACACACATTCAGCATATTTACAGACAAGCCATCCACATATTGGATTTTCTATATTTCAAAATAGTATAACCTATACAGTGGAGAATGTTAAGTTCTAAGCCCTGTCTTAATAACGTTTTAGAGACTGCAACACATACATAGACTTTCCCCCTTACCTTTCAAGCATTAAGTGTGGACTGACTAAAGCTAGAAATAAAGATAGCTTTGCTTTTAGCCCCTTTCTGTTTTATGTGCCACTGAGATATGCTGCTTTAGACCTCTCATGATTAATGGCCTATGATCCAGGAGTGGAAAAATGGTTTCTTCAAGTCATAAGATATGTGCAGCATTGGTAGATACGACCAAGCTGAACCACACAGGTATGTAACCGCTGAAGCCTGACCTTAGAAATAAATCAGGCCAGACAGAAGTAACAGAAATCATGCTTTGTCTTTCATTGCAATGTTAATGTTTACAATGAGACATCACCACTACCACCCCCACTTACCCACCCCATCCTGATTTGGGTGCACTCCTCTGTGCTCTTATGGCACCCTATACGTGCATTATTCTATCAGCACTAATCTCACTGCCCTGCAATTGTAGGATTAAACAACTGCTCCGCCAGAAGACTGGAGAGGAGGAAGCATATTAACACAACTGTGGTTCCCAGTACTCACCCCGGTGCCTCAAACACAGCAGGCACACTATAAATGTGTACAGATAAAGTGAACATAAGACGTGTGCTTACTTTAAGGGATTCATAGACAGGAGACCGCATTAAAAAAAAAATCAAACAAGGAAACATCAGATTTAATTCAAAGAAAAAAACAAAACAAACTGTCTGAAAAAACAATCAACTCCTGAAAAAAAGAGTTCTGCATCTTGGTGATCACATTTATTGTAAGGGTTGGAGAAAAATAAAAATGCCATTCAGCTTGAAAATTTGTGAGTTATCTGCAAATCAACTCATTTCAGGTGTGGAAGATACCTTGGTCATTTCTTAATATCAAAATTTACGCAGGTTTCTCTTTTGAATATCTTCTACATTTAAAGAGGCAACCACACAACTCCTGTTTTCCATACGGATAAATGTTTTGTTTCAGCCAACTCTCAACGGAGGGGCAACTAGTACAACACCATCTCCCCGGACAAAGAGCATCGGAATATTCCGTTTTGTTGACTGGAAGAGGAAAAAAAAAGCAGAACACATTATACAAATATGTAGTAGTAGTATTTATTTTTTGAGAGAGATATTTGAAAACAAAAAACCAAACAGATTCATCACAATACAAATAAATTGATTAAAAGAACCTGATCACTTACCTTTGCAGCACAAAAAACCAGTCTATTAACTTAACTGTACTTTCCCTGGATATTAACAACTGGCAGAGACTATTCACCAAAATCCATTCTCCTCCACTCCTGGCACACAGCTAGGCTACATTTCTCATGCTTCTTTGCAACCAGATATAGCCATGGATTGGGTTTTAACCAATGGAAAGTGAACAGAAGTGACTGACTGGCCCATAAACTTCCCACGAACGCCCCTCTGTGGTCTTCCTCTCACTGCTAGATGGACTCAGATAACGGAGAACCAAGGGGATGGCAGAGCCGCAAGACAGAAGAAGCCTGGGTCTCTGACTAAGCACCTGCAAGAAAGCTATTGTACTGCCCTAAAACCCCACTCAGGACTCTTACAGTGGGCGAGAAATAACATTCTGTTGTGCTGAGCCATAAGGAATCAATACCTTGGGGCATCAGTCTGGGGTCAAGCCTTAGGCAGTAAAGAAACATGAAATGTTTGAAATCCTCTTATGTCTTGGCAAAACGTTAGGTAAAACCGTTGCCTGCAATGACTTGAAAGTAGCCTAAGGACCTCCCAAACCCATAGGTTCTGGGAGAAGAGGCTGGAAAAAGTCAAATGTTAGTAGGTGTTGCTGTTAACCCGATGTACTCAGCAACACAGTATAAGAAAGAGAGAAGCTCAGGCAAGAACTAGCTGGTTTCAGGCAGACTACAAGAAATAGGATTCACAGAGTTAGAAAAGCCAACTGTTTTTAGACCCCAAACTGAAGACAATAATCAGGAAAAAAAAGCTGAGGAATGAGGCCCAGTGAAACTTCTCAGTTAAACAAACTCAGCCCTGAGGCAAAGAACAGATTAAGGGCGTTGCCTTCCCACCCAAACTTACTTTAGCAAATGGCCTCAAAGTAGTCAACATTAACTTGAGGGAGCGGAACCGAGGTGAGGAACTAAAGAAATAAAGGTGTCTGCAAGCTGTGTCTAGGAAACAACTTTGACTGAGGTTACTGGCCCACAGAATTGAATGGAAGTAAACAGATCAGAAACATACGAAGTCCTAAGTTTTTAAAGAAACTGCATTGCCAGAGAAACTACAGCTTGGCTAAAAAAGCCTTTGCCTATTTGAGTCTTCCAGCATAAGCAAGAAGTCAGCTGCGAAAGCTCTGCTGCCCCCATTTAGGGTTGCCAGACCTAGCAAATAAAAATACAGGTTGTCCAAATAAATCTGAATTCTAGATAAAAAATATTTCTTTAGTAGAAGTATGTCCCAAATATTGCATGGGACATACTTGACCTAACCAAGGGATTTCTTCTCCCTACTGGGACAGGGAACATTCATGCCTCCCCAGAGGATTCATCATTAGTAAGGACTGGTAACTGCTGCACGTTTCCATTCTTTCCTTTTCTGAAAGGGAGTTTTTATGGTGGATATCCTGTCCCTGTGCTGCTGCAGTGGGTGTGGGAGGGGCAATGGCAATTAATTCATCTTTTTAGCTTACAGGCATCTGTACCACAACTGCCCACATGTAGATCCGACAGAGAGAACTGCAGATCGTGTGGAGATCCCAGAACCTGAGCTGGACGTCCTGCTTGTCTCCTTTGGGGCAGAGGCGTGTTCTGTGTGACGAAGGAGGGTTCTGAACACACACGCCTGTTGGTCTTCATAGCAGCTCCACCATCAAACTCACAAGCTTAGTATAGCCATGCTGATACCAGCGTGCACAGCTCTGCAGAAGGAAAACGCAGCACGCCAGCCAGGCAGCAGCAGGAGGTCTCTCAGTGGGAACCTTTACAATAATCCAAGGACTTTTCTCTAGCGACCCAAATGATGAAGCCAGGTATCTGAGGGGTACTGTAGATGTTAAACCAATTTACTGTTTTTCCTGTTTAACTTGAGGGGTGACTCAGGGGTCTCGAGAATTTGTGAGCTTGTTTTATAGGAGAAAGAGAATGCCTTCGGGGAGGTCGCGATCACCGGATGGCTAATCACTGGACGGATGGTTGGCCCTCAGCAGCTGTTGAAACCCAGAAGTCAGACTGCCCAGAGGCTTATCGGGAGTGACCCCTTTGTTTCCCTGAAGCCCCTCCTGCCAAGCCCCTTAGCTCTATAAAACACACCTGCTTTCTGTTCTAGGGGAGGTGGATTTGAGTGAACCCAGGCTCTCACCTACTCGTTTTGGCCAATTCGAATCAACCTTTCTCATCTCCAAGCACCGATGTCTCAGTGTTTGGCTTGCTGGGCATCAGGCACACGAACTTGAGATTAAGAGGTTTGGTATCAGTGACAGCTCAGGTACCAGGTAGGTACAGGAGCCACCCTGGCTTAAGTGCCCTACACTTCACATAGTAAGCAAATAGTCCCATGAATGTAGCTTCAAAGTCACTAAGAAGGGGCACGTGCCATTACAAGTGTCACATCATACTCAGGGAAGCCCAAAGCTACGGGTTAACAGTGTTTAGAGCTTATTCATAATTCTCCCAGTTCACGTGCAGTTTATGAACCAGGGGCCATGTTCACCATAAGCATGTTTTCTAGCAAAACAGCTGACGTTCCACTTGTATCAGGTTTCTAGGGAAAAGAGAATTGGTCAATTAATCCATGGTCATTTTTTCCATGGAGAAGATGATTTTTTTGAAAAACGCTTTACTCAAGAGATATCTGGTTGCCAGAGGGGCAGACTATAGCAGAAATTGCTAGCTATTCATGAAAATTCCTTTTTCTTTCCTTCTTGGGCACACAAACTATATTTCCCAGGTTCCCTTGCAGTTGGGTACGGTCATATCACAAAGTTCTAGCCTAAAGGATATGAGAAGATATATGTGGCACTTTGGGCCTGGTTCTTAAAACTTCCCACGAGCACTCCTCCATTTCTTTTTGCTACCACTGGCTGGATGTGAATGACAATAAAGACTTAGGGGATGGTAGAGCTATAAGACGAAAAGAGCCTGAGTTTCTGAATGACTGTGTGAAGGAAACTTGCCTAGAACAAGTATGTGATCCAGAAACAACTCTGACTGTGCTGAGTCACCACATGTTGGGGGTGGGGGGAGGTCCCTTGTCACCATAGTCTAGCCACCACTAACTAATATGCCCCAAAGGGTAAACTTTCAACTACCCATGTGTGAGTTACCTCCCCTGGGCTGTCTGTTTAAATCATCCAGCCAGGAGACAGGCTATAGACAATTCTTGAGAAAGAACGGGACATGAGCAGGTGTAAGGGGTTCAGCGTGTAAACCTACATCCTTTAAGCAAGAAAAGGATTCTATAAACTCAACATCAGAAAAATGTATTGGATTTTCTAGTAATGGTGGTGAATTTCATCCAGAATTTAAACACATACACACACACACGTATATACACATATATGTATGTATAAATACATATACATATATATGTATAAATACATATACATATATATGTACATATAAATGTTTGCATGAGTGGACTTCAGATTTAGTTTCAAGTTGAATGAATTAGTTTCAAAGAGAAAAGATTTTATTTCAGTGCCAAGGACTGCACATCCAAGCCTTGCCACCTGTCAAACATTCTGCTGGGGATGGGGGGGTGGGGAGGGTGCATACACATGCACACACACGTGCACATATATACGTGTGTTCTCTTTCCATTATGTGTCAGGTACTATGATAGACACTAGACACAAAGAGATGAATAAAACATGGACCTGTCCTCCTAGAATCCCCATTCTACGAGTGAAGAGAAAGTAGAGAAGGCATGAATTTATCCTATAAGAGCACTTACACATAAGCAAAAGATAAAATTATTCATGGCAGGATAGTTTGTATTAGCATCAATAGGATGTTAAATAAATTATAGTACATCTATACAATGGAGTACCATAAAGCTAAAGCCAAAAGTGCAGAGAAGCTATATAAGAAAATGGAAAAAGCTCTGAGATATACTAAGTCAAAAGAGCAAGGTGTACAACAACGTGCATGGTATGCTATCTTTTACTAAAAAAAACAAAAACAGGAGGAAGGAGAATAGTTTTCATTCACATATGCATAAAGACACTGGGGAGGATTCTCAAAAAACCAGTAATAGTGATTACCTCCGGGGGTTGGGGTGAAAACAAGATGAATAGAGGATGGGGTGGAAGACTTTTTACTACATTACTTTTCATGTTTAGTGACTTTTAAACTGTGTGACTCTATTATCTGCCCAAAAACTTAAATTAAAATGGAAGCAATTTAAAATGGATAAGAAACAAAATATGGTATGTATTAAGTATTATCGTGACATATAATATGGGAGCATAAAAAGAATACTTACTTATGAATGGGGAAGTTCGTAAAGAGAGAATTACTTCTGTATGGGGGGGTTGGTCTAGAGCTGCTCTGGCCAATACAAGAGCCATTAGCCACAGATGGCTAAATTAAAACTAAAATTAAATAAAATTAAATATTCAGTTCCTTAGTCACACCAGCACACATTTCAAGTGCTAAACAGCCATATATGGCTCATGGCTACTGTATTATGGGACAGTACAGATTTAGAACATTTCTATTATTGCAGACCATTCTACTGGACAGCGCTCATCTAGAGAAAGGTATAAGGGAAACACATGATGCTGTCTAGAAGGCCTACAGGCAAAGGTTTGTAAGGTGAGGGAGGGTGCTGCAAGCAGAGGCAGCAAGATGGCTCTGTTACCAAAAATGGCACAACATCCCCAGGAGAAACCGATGACTCAAACCAAGAGGAGTTTGGTGAAGGAAGGTGGCAAACATGATGGATGTTTGAAAAAGTAGGCTGGGGCCAAGTAATAGACCTTTAGCAGTCTATAAAACGGACACAATAATAACGGAAGGCTGAGAGCCAAAAGAGTAAGACTGACTGCTTTCAACCCTCCCATGAACAAA